ATTCGGGACTGACTGGCACAGGTAGGGGGAAAGTGCAGCTGAGCCCCTGCTGCTCTGGCTGGGCTCATCCTGTTGTGAGCGGCACACGGCTCTCCTTCCCACACTCACCGTGTCAGCAACATCAAGCTGATGCGGTGCGTGTGGGAACCTTGTCCCTTCCCAAGCCCTTCAGCAGCCATTAGGAAGCTGTTGAGGGGCTGGGGGAGGGACAAGGGGTGGGAACGAAAGTAAACAGTGTTTACATTCGTTTCCCGTCGCAGCACCGCGGGCCACAGAAAATGCCTGGGCATGGCAGCCCGCGAGCCGTATGTTGGACAAGGCTGCTTTATATAGACATCTTACTCCATGGTCTAAAGCTTCAAAGGAACAAGGGTAGGTGAGGGCCTGAATCCATGAGGACAGGTTCTTGCATTCCAAAGCTTGGCTTTCTGGTTTATTTTTAGGATGCTATTGACTTTTTTTTTCCATAACCCATGGACTGAAGGTGCAGGGGGTGGAGTGGGAGGATAGAAGGAAGACTTTTCAGTAGCCTCAAATGATGTCAGATATTCTGTTTTCTGTTTGGGCATCCAATGTGTTAGATCTTTCCTTGTCTTCCTGAGTGGGCTTGTCTATCAGATCACTCTAGGGCAGGCTAGGTGTTTTAGGTGTGGGGATGCTCTGAAAAGACTTAAGTCAAACCTTCTAACTGCAGTATTGTTATTGAGCAGCTCTTGTAAACCTGTTTTTATGGTAATGGAATACCCAGCTTTGATTTTTTTTTTTTTAATTTTTTTTGGTGTTGCGTTGTCTTTTGTTGCAGTTACTTAATTGCTTATCTAAAAAAATATATATAATGTAAATCCTCTTACTTTAACCTTTTAAGTAAGTAGCTTAAACCAAAGAGCCATTGGAGTCAGGTTTCTAACCTGCATTAGTTGTCCTCAGTGATTTGGAAACTAATCATTTATTAAAGTCATTCTTTACAGAAGTTGCCAAAAATTCATTGGAGAAAACAGGAAGACTCTTTTTTTATGCTCAGTGGCTTGGTATTGGATTTTCCATAAAACAGATATTCAGTCTGCAGTGCCTTTTCTCATATGCGGTAGTAGCAAGTGTTAAACTGGGGAAAGTAAAGTCTTGCTCTCAGGTTCACAGTTGGGGTTCAGATCATGCCAAAATAAATGTTTTAAATGTGGTGGTGATAAATTTATACAATCTAGTGGACTGGGCTGCTTAGTTTCAGCCCAGCCCTCTCAAGGTTTTCAGCCACATTAATCAGAGGTGGTATTTGAACAGTACTTTATATACTCTGAATGTTTTTACAATATTTATCACCAGCCTCTAGGTACAGCGAGATACCAGGGATGCTGCTCAAAGGGCAAACCACACTAGCTTTTTTCTCTCTAATGGGAGCCAGAGTTGTGAGAACATTTACCACATTGTCTTCAATAGCTTTAGCTATAGGTGAAGTACCAGATGGAGAAAACAGAGGCTGTGGCTGACTTGCCCAAGGTAACTTGGGGAGTTGGTAGCAGAGCAGAGACTAGGATTCTTTTGAGTGTCTGACTCTGAGGACCATGATCAGTCTCTTGGATTGCAGTCCCACTCCCTACCCAATACAACCTTCTAGCATTTCGTATGCCAAAAGATGCTGCAGAGTGTGTGTGTCAATGCTTGGAGTCCCAGGATGAGAGAACCGGCCTATGTGGCAGGGTAGGATTGAGATGAGTGGAAGCGAATGGTAAGTTGGGACCCCTGCTCTCTGACTGTAGGGTGCTGCTGCCATTACCTCAGCACAGCTGTGCTGCTGAAGAGTTCTTGAGGGTCTCATGACATTACCTTTTCATTCTGGGATTTCAGATCCCAGAATGTGTAACCAGGACCCCTTCTACTATTTAGGAAGGGGTGTGCTCTCACAGCCAGAAGATTTAGGTGGAGGGGGAACATCATATATGGGTGCCCCCCATAATTTCTCTGACTCCCATCTCTCTCCTCCTCACCAGCTAGAAACCATCCCCTACCAGTGGAAGACTGGGTGTTCAACAGTCTGCCACGTAAGATGAGCTATTGTCATCTGAATTGGTCCTGTTGGGGTCTAAGCACAGTGTTGGGACACTTGGCACGGTGCTGACTTGTACTGAGCTTTCATCCGGCTTTGAAGTTCTGACAATGGCACTGACGTTAGGTCTTGGATTTCTCTTGAGGTCTGAAACACCAGAGGCTGTTCAAGGCAACAGCAAAACTCCCAGTGACACACGAGGCCAGGATTTCCCCCTAAAAATATAATAAAAGGCTATGTCTTCAGCAGCACATTATGCTAAAGAATACTCTCTAGCCTCCATAATCTTCAGCTAGAATAGTGCCCAATATCAAAGATTTTACCAACTTCTTCAAAAATTCTCAGATGAATTTCCATATCAGATGCACCTTGATGCATGGGGAATATCAGTCTGGCTTCTCTAGGTAGGAATGGGGAATACAGAAACCATTTAAGTATAATCACTATTTATCCAGCATTTTAGGCTTTTCACAGGTGGTAGATTTCTTTTTTTTTTTTTTAATATTCTCCCTGTGTAGACCCTGGAAACAGGCTCTCTGTCATACTTTTGTCTTGTAGGGTAGCAGAATTGTGAAGGGACTGAACTGGTCATCAGCCAAAACTGTGGTGAAGGTTAGACAGAGGGGGGTGAAGGTCGGTTTGCAGAGAGGATGTGGAGTCATTGAACTGATGCACATGAATCCGCACTGTCTGTATCCTCCTCCCTCAGAACAGATGGACAGCTTGGAAACACTGGCTCAGTTGTGGCTTTATTATAGTAATAGGGGACTTCTCATTTGGTCACCTGTTTACATGACAGCCTGTTGATCTGATCATGGACTTCCCCTGGCAGTGAACTCTCAACTCCTGTGACTGCAAAAATCAATTCCAGCAGAGTGTGTTATGCGAAGACAGACATTGGCCTTATCCAGACCTGTTTGTTTCTAGCGCAAATGACTTGAACTCTCCTGCTCTCTGTTCCTCCTGAAAAGCTAAGGCAAAGGGGCACAGAAAAGCAGCTGACAACAATGGCACCATTCTAGCACTGATAGCTAGGGATCCTGGTTGTACCATGATGAATGGCTTTAGTTCTCATTCTGGGAAATGGAAATCTCTTCCTTTAAAAAAAAAAAAAAAAAAAAAAAAAAAGCTCTTGTTTTAAGTATCTCCTGTGCCAGAGGATAATCAGTGAGCTCTCTGATCTTGTTTTCTATCTCTTCAGCACCTGATCATGTGCACGTTCCAAATCGAATATGGATCATGGTGGGTCTCCTCAACTTCATGGCATATACGCTAGGTAAGACCTGCAGTTCTCATGATCTGTCTTTGGGTTTTATAACGTGCCCTCCGCCATAGACACTAGTGTGGCTGTCATGAGTGACTTGCACTTCTGTTGTTGCACTGAATGTTTTCCCAATTGGCCAGGTCCCCCTGGTGCCTGGCTTTGTTCTTGTGGACACGATGTCTGGATGATGTTTTACCTTTGGAAACTGCTTCTCCAAATTATTTTTATGTCTTTACCTCAGTAGGAGCAAACATAAAAGTAGCATATACACCTACTGCAGGACTGATGTTTTTACGTGGTTACCCATGAAATATTTCATTCAGACTCCTACTAATAGTTTGAAATTTGTTTCAGGATCTAACAGTCTCTTCTTTTTTTCCACTTTCTTTGTCTCAAGCATAGTAGTGTGCCTCAACTATGCTTGAGACAAAGAAAGTGGCACATAGTAGTGTGCTATAGACTATGTGGGAAGCCAGCCACTGACTTCAGTTGTGCATACGCTTTCTGACAGCTGCAGAGGAGTGGCTTGCTGTGCCTGGGGGTGTTCAAATGTGCATCTCTGCTTGCCTTCCAGATGGTGTCGATGGGAAGCAAGCTCGCCGAACCAACTCCAGCACCCCACTGGGTGAGCTCTTTGACCATGGCCTGGACAGCTGGGCCTGCATGTACTTCGTCGTGACTGTTTACTCCACCTTCGGCCGGGGATCCACTGGAGTCAGTGTCTTCGTTCTCTATCTCCTTCTATGGGTGGTTTTATTTTCATTCATCCTCTCCCACTGGGAGAAGTATAACACAGGGATTCTCTTCCTGCCCTGGGGATATGACATCAGCCAGATGGTAAGTATGTTTTTCCTTCTGTTAAATCTGAAGTAATCATTCAGAATACAGTAGGCCAGCACGGGAGGGCTGCCAAAGTGGTGTGTGTACGGATATATGCTGCTCTGGCATCTTTTCTCTCTGGCACGTGTCCAGCTTTTCATAAAATGCCCACCTCCAGCATCTCTGGACCTAGGCTTACTCTGCCTATTTCTGGACTTCAGGGAGGAGTATTCTGGCTGAATGCCTGAGAGCCAGTTGTGAGAGGCACAGTAATTGGAGCTGTCATCAAGGAAATTGAACCAGGTCTTGATTCAGCAAAACATGCTTAATGTTAACCCTGTGCATAATGAATTGGTCTCCAACAAGGAAGATATAATGGTACTTTTACTGTATAGTCAGGTTGAGAGAGGCATGAGGCGACTCGTTCTAAAGTACATTCTTGTTTCTGTGTTAGCAAGAAGTAAAATATTATCCATGTTCTCTAAAAATTGAATTCTAATTATAGGTTGCTGGAAAATGAATGAGCCTGATCTGATTTTTTTTCTTTCTTTCTTTCTTTGGCTGTGGCACTGGTATAAGTACACGGACAGCTGCAGTTCTTACTAGTGTGTGATTTGAATCTCATCTGGTGGTAGATGCCTGTATTGCAACAGTACAAGAACATAAGAAATTTAAGGACTGAACAGGATATCTATATCTTTCAAGTCCTAGACTTTATTCTGTAAGACTTGTGGCACTTGCAAGATGCCTGCCAAATTTATCTGATGAATAAATGTGCAAGTTAATTACTTTCCTTTATCCCCAGCTGGCTTAGAATGCGAACTCATTAGGTTAGTGCCTGTCTTGGCAAAAACCTGTAAGGTAATTAGCATAACTCCTGCACTTGATGAATCCAGTATTGCCAGTTCAGCAGCACCTCATGGAAATTTAGAAGGGAAACTACTTTTAAGGGATGGTAATACTTTTGTCTGGCTTCAACTGATGCCAGACATGCATAGCTGTTTATTAATATCAGCAATTAAAACTATTCAAATCAAAGTCTGTGTAACCTTTACATAATGGTAATCAGTCTATAGAGCATTTTAATATGCCCTCCTAGTTTACATGATGTCTTTGAATAGATAGTGGGGAATTTTTTTTAATTGTTTTGCTTTTTAATTGTTTTATTTTATGAATATCATCTTGGTCATAAAGTACTAGCAGCCATTGTCTAGCTCAGTGGTTCTCAACCTTTTTTTGTACCAGGACCCATTTGCAAACATCAGTGGCCAGTCCTGACGCAGTGTGTGGGGCAGGGGGGGCCAAAGCAGCCCCTTGCAGGCTGGAACTCTGCCAGGGAAAAGCCGCTGTTTACCATGTCTTTCTCCTTTAAAGGAGAATCCATTTTTTAAGTTTGTTAACAACCTTTTCATATATTCTTGTGACCCACTTTTGGGTTGTGACCCACAGGTTGAGAAATGCTGGTCTAGCTCACCTCTGAATTTTCCAAGCCTGCTACTAATTCTTTGCGGTCGGGCATCACTGTTTGGATTGTTCCAGGCTCCTCATGTTGCTGGCCTTTTTTCACAGCTGGCCATGACATTTGCAGCAGGTTTGCTATCTGGGCTAATGCTGAGTGATGGCCTGTGGCTCGTTTGTCACAGGACTCCGTGGGAATAAAGGAACAAGAGTGGGGCCTTAACCAGTTCTCATGTACGCCCTGTAGCGCTATTATTGCATCCAGCCCAGGGACCGATTTTAATGTCAACTTTTACCCTGGGTGGCAAAGAGCAGCTAACTCAGATTTTAAAATCTAGCTAACAGTAATGCCCTGTAGCTTTTGAGACTACCTGGTGAAGAATAATCATGCTGCCAAAACCCCATCTCGTCAGACTGGTTTATCCAGATGCTAATGCCTGTCTGCATTCTCTTTGTGTTTCATTTCCAGACCATTTCCATTGTCTACATAGTGACAGCGATTGTGGGAGTTGAGGCCTGGCACGCACCTTTCCTGTTTAATTTCTTATATAGAGACCTATTCACTACAATGATTCTTGGTAAGAAGCTCCATGTCAAAACCTGTTTTTAAATAACACCTCTTTACCCCACTCCAATGTTTCCCTTGAACATGTGCTGTTTTATGTTCTTTTTTTAACAAAGAAATATAGTGAAATACCTCTCTAGAGAATTTGTCTTAATGAACCTGTTTAATCTAGATTAAAATTCAGCAAATGCTCAGCATGGCTGAAATCTCATTAAAATATGGTGACTCGACTCTGAAAGTAGCAGCACTCATTTTCATAGGATGGAAAAGCGTGGTTCTATCATGCTCCTCCCAAAACCTACTGGGCATGTTGCATACCAATTCATAGCCTACACAGCCAGCTGTGGGCTTCGGTGAGGTGAACTGTAGTTATGTCTGTTTATACTACATTACAGTTGTCCTCCCAAGCAGGGCAGCAACAGACTTAAGTTTCTTACATGATGTTCTCTAGCAGCTGCAGTCTGCTGAGCTCAAGTTCTAAAGCGAGACGCACTATTTCAGAGGTGAATCTAAGCCCTCGCACATCACAATACCCAACTAGCACTCCGCCATTTCAAGAAAGTAATCGATTTAGGATGTCATTCTGACCTTGGCATTCTTACAGACACAGAACCATACCCAAATGTGAACTTGGGAATATGAAACCCGATGTTTATTTGTTTTTTGGTTGGTTTTTTTTATAACCAGTTTGGGCTTCATACATTTTAAGCTACAATTGTGATGCAAAGCATGTTTAACCCAGGTTTGGGGTGACATGGTTTCTATTTAAAAATATCTGATGCAGCTGGAAAAATTGGCTTGACCAATAGCATTCTGTTGCATTATTATGCATGTCCCCCTAATGTAAAACATAAAGGCTGGGACTCTTACTGACATTGCATATTTATGCAAAATGTAAAGAAGGACTAAGTGCCTCTCTTTGCCTGTAGTCTGTGCTGCTACCCCTGAACTAGATACTAATCTCATGTTAGTCTGCATGTCTGCAGGGACTCAGCCTTTATAAGGGTTTGCAGGTGAGTAGTTCCCAGGTAATAAGAATCAATTAAACCTTGAATCTAGAGAACATGCAAGTTGACATAGAGTTAAACTCTATTCCCAACAAGGCAATTCTATCTTTGTATACCCATAGCAGCAGATATCTGAGAACTCAGATTTAGAGGAACTAGGGAACTTTGCTTTATTGATGTCTTGCTTTGCATGTGGTTCACTTTTTGGAAAGAAAACATTTTGGAACCATGGTCCTTTTTAAAATAAATGTCTTTTGCTGTCATCTGCTATAATATTATTTCCATTTTGCCTATCTAATTCTTTACCTGCTCATCGTGAGATTAAATGTTTGAAGTGTTGGCGTTCGCTTGAAGCTCCTTCTCACACAGGATTATATTTAATAAAATGGCTAAATATTTTGAGACTATCTCTGCATCATAACTTTGTCTGAAATACGCCCCTCTTTTCTTGACAAGATAGAAAGCGATCAGTCAATAGTTTCTATTTGGTGCCTCATCCCACAGGCCAGATGAATGAATTTATCTTTTAGTGAGAAGCTACCTCTGTGAATGCCACGTCTCTAAGCAAGACAAGCTATTTCTGAAGAGCTTAATCAAAGATAAAAACATGGTGCCCCCTCCCCCACTTAAAAAAATTGAGCAAAAATTGGATTAGTGGATTAAACTTCTTTAGCAAGGATGGACTGAGTCAAAGCAAAGTGAATTAAAAATAGTTGCTTCCTTTGGTCCTGTTTTTAGCTCAGCAGCCAGGAAAATTGATTTTAATTGATTTTTTTTTTTATTTGTTTGTTTTTGTTTTTGTTTAAATCTCTTTTACTTTTTAGTTACTGTCTGCTTTTGATTTGAACTTAGTATTTGCTCTCTTAGAAGGATAAACTGCTCTTATTTTTGCACAGCAACATGTGGTTTCTGGACTCACTTTTTTTCTTTTAATTGTGTAGAAAATGAAAAAATGCTGATGTTTATTTGCATGATAACTTTAATTCTGCCAGGTTGTCTTTGGAGAGAAATCAGACTTCAGTTAAATCATGGAAGCTGCCATAATACAGTTGTTTTTATGTGATAAAAACTGCATTAAAAGTGCAGGATAATACTTTTTTAATAAACCCATTAAAACAAGTCTTATTGATTAAATTATGTATTTATTAAATAAAAGCATAGTTAGTAAATTGATGTAGTGCTTGTTTCTGGTCACCCTGGGTCAAATTTTCAAAGCTATGTAATTATCTGCCTAGCTCTTTAGGGGCTTAAATAGCTTTTAAAGTCTAGTCAGTGACATTTCAGTTTTGTAGAATGAGGATCTCTAATTTGCTTCCATCTGGTGCATTTTATTCCTAAATTGGAAGAGGAAAACTAGTTTTCTTGTGGCGGGTGTTTTTGAATGAATGAACATGTCCCCATGAAGAAAAGTTTGTGCACCTGCTAACTAAGCAGAAGCAAAATCATTTAAAACCAAAGCTTTTCTGTGCAATATCAACTGAAATGACTTGCATCTGGAGGAATATAAATACCAGCGTTTACCCTTTTGTAAAGACTAAAACTATTACATGCTTCATTCAGCATATCATCTTTATAAAGCATGCCTGACATCAAAAGTTAGCTGTTCTTCCTCTAATGGTACATAATGAGGATGTGAAACGCCTGGCCCGCAGGCCAGATCCTGCAGGGCTTCTGGCTGTGGATGCCAAACTGCTGTGTCAATGTGGCCAGCACTCGGTGAGTTAATGCAAATACTGCCAGAGGTGGGTAATGTCTCATCCCCCTCCTGACCCACACCCCTACCAAATTTGTCACTCGTGATGCAAATTGATGGTAGATTTATGATGTTGGCATTAACCCTGGGTGCTGGATGCAGCCTGCCAACCATCTGATTTGACTCCTGCTGTATACTATTAAGGCAGCACCATGTCACTGGATTCTGTATACTATTAAGGCAGCAATACTACTTTAAATGGCTATAATAGTTTATAGAGACACAGGCCTTTGCTCAGGCTTATTTTTAATAGGAAATTGATATCTACTTTAAAGGAAGATGTTTCTGATTCAACAGACTTCCAACAAATTTTATCACCCTACTGTAACCAAACATGACACTGTCAGTGACTGTTTATAATAACATGAAACTGTGATCATCTCCTTTAATACTTGCAAAAGACGTCAGTGCTTTTGACTGACTTTGCTAAACTGTTACACTGCAGTAAGTTAGATCTTTCTCTTCCAGGTTGTGCAGTCACAGTGACTCTGCCAATGAGTGTGTACAACTTTTACAGGTAAGTTGAGTTTCCTTTGTTTGTTTTCTTTGTTCTTTCCCTTCCCAGCCCCCATATGTCTCGTATTCAGTCATTTATTCTGGTATTTAGGGCATTGTGTGGTGGACCTGCACCACTGGGTGAGCTTGGCATGCAACACATTATAAAGGGCAGACACCTCAATCTGCCTGCTTCCTGCCAACATTGAAATTTAAGGAGAACCATGGCTAAGTTTCATAGTTGGTAGGGTTGGAAGGGACCTGAACAGATCATCAAGTCCGACCCCCGGCCCTGGCAGGAAATAGTACTGGGGTCAAACAACCCCAGCAAGGTGTTCATCTAGCCTCCTCTTAAAGACCCCCAGGGTAGGAGCCAGCACCACTTCTCTTGGAAGTTAGTTCCAGCTCCTAGCCACCCTGACAGTGAAGTAGCACCTCCTGATGTCTAGCCTGAATCTACCCTCTGCCAGCTTGTGACCATTATTTCTTGTCAATACTGGTAGTGCTCAGGGGAGCAGGGACTCCCCCAATGCCTGCTGGTCCCCCCTGACTAGTTTGTAAAAGGCCACCATATCCCCCCTCAGCCTTCTCTTGTGGAGGCTGAACGGTTTCAGGGCCCGTAGCCTCTCCTCGTAGGGCCTGCCCTGCTGTCCCTGATCATGCGGGTTACCTCCTCTGGACCCTCTCCATGCTGTCCATGTTCCTCCTGAAGTGCGGCGCCCAGAACTGGATGCAGGACTCCACCTGCAGCCTGACCAGTGTCGCATAGAGGGGGAGGATCACCTTCTTGGACCTGCTCGAGATGCATCTGTGGATGCACGACAAGGTGCGGTTGGCCTTCCTGACCGTGTCCCTACATTGGTGGCCCATGTTCATATTGGCATCAATAACGACTCCAAGATCCTTTTCTGCCCCTGCACTGACGAGAAGGTTGTTCCCCAGCCTGTAGATCTGCTGCTGGTTCTTCCTCCCCAGGTGCAGCACCTTGCACTTGTCAGTGTTGAAACCTATCCTGTTCTCATCTGCCCACCCCTATAACGTGTCCAGGTCCGATGCAGCCAATTCCTCCCTTCTAGCATGCACACTTCTCCCCACATCTTAGTGTCATCTGTGAATTTGAACAGGGTGCTTTTTACCCCCTTGTCCAAGTCGCTGATGAAGATGTTGAACAGTGCGGGTCCAAGGACCGAGCCCTGGGGAACCCCACTGCCCACATCCCTCCATGTCAAATAAGACATGTCCATCACCGCTCTCTGGGTGCGGCCCTCCAGCCAGTTAGTGACCCATCTGACTGTGTAGGTGTTGATGCTACAGTCCCCTAGTAATGAGGATGAGATGAGAGACAGTGTCGAAGGCCTTCCTAAAGTCCAGAAAAACTACATCCACTGTGACACCCACGCCTAAGGATTTTGTGACCCTATAAAGTATATATTATATCCGTAGCTTCCTAGGAGCCCAGAGGCCACTCACTAATTGTTTTTAAACAGAATGGATTTTAGAGGCATACCTGTTGTACTGCGCTGTGCCTCATTGAGAACATAGGCCCAGCCTGCTCCTCAGAGTGTGTAGATCATGATACCATGCTCTATGCTGCACCTCTCATCTATTCTCTTTCCTCTCCATAATAAATGGAGAAACTGATGCTAGAAGCCCGGCTTACTGGCAGAGAACAGGGTAACCGGGTGAAGGAACTTCTGGGGGTGGGTAAGTTCGATGGCTATTAAACTAAAGGGATGGAGCTCAATCATTTGCAAATGTCACTGACTTCAGTGATCTGTGGAAGTTACAGTTGATGATTCTGAGGACCGCCTCACATACTACAGCTGCAAAACTAGTGGTTCCTAATAGTCTTCAGCCCACTCTATGAGAGGCTGCAGCTTCCTGTCATTTGACCTTTTTTTCTGTCCTTTGCTTTCTTTAAAGGGCCTATAAAAGTAACACCCTGAAGCACCACTCACTGTATGAAATAATACTGCCATTTCTCTCACCGGTGTTACTGTTTGCTCTGTGCACTACCTGGATTTTCCTGTCGCCATCGGACATCCTGGAGGTCCACCCTCGGCTCTTCTACTTCATGGTTGGAACAGCCTTTGCTAACATTTCAGTAAGAGCACTGTTGTTGCTATCTATAATGCTGTAATCTAACTCCCCCCAAACCAGAAAAATAGCGATACTTGCATCATTGGAGCTCTAGCGCTAGATGACGTGTCTGTTATTTTGAAGTCCTGCTCTTAGCCTCTCTGATTTCTGTGAAATTAGTTAAGCTCTGTACAGTCTGATCAGCCTGCCTAAGTGAAAGCATCCCCAAATGTCAAAGATGCCCCTCTGAAATCCAGACCCTGCATGACAACAGGCCTACTCATCTTCATTGCTGTCTTTGGTCTGTTGTGATGAGGGATGTGCTGTTTTGTCCCCTTCCTTTTTTGGTGTGGTTTTTCTACCAGCTTTGCAGGTAAGATTTAATCCTGTTTGATTAGGATTGATCTAGTCAGTACAAATTGACCAGATAGGGTCAGACTCCAACACCGATTTCTCTTGGGCATATTTGAAGTCTTCAAATATTTAGAAAGGTTCAGAGCAAACAATCATCTGTGTTCTAATAAATGTCAGCCTAGGCATGCGCACAGCCCTTGTTTCCCGTGCTGAAAAGCCACAAGGATTCTGGAGTTTGCATCCAACATGGCCCTTTGCAAACTGCGTGTGTTTAACAGAATTGCTTCTCTTTGCAGTGCCAGCTGATTGTGTGTCAGATGAGCAACACCCGATGCCAGCCTCTGAACTGGATGCTGCTGCCACTAGCGGTGGTTGTTTTCGTGGTGCTGTATGGATTAGCACCAAATAATGAAACAGTTCTCCTGTACACATTAACAGCAGTCATCACCGTGGCGCACATTCACTACGGAGTGTGTGTGGTAAGTGAACACGGCATGTGGGGGCTTGGAGTTTAGCTAAGACTATTTCACTTAAAGCATTTGTGGGCCCGTTGTGTTACATTTGGTGGGATACTTAAAAAAAGAATGGCAGCTGGAATCAGCGTGGTTCTAAAGCTTTTTCTAAGCAGTGAAGCAGCACAGACTACAGGCGTAGAGGGGCACTTAGTCCCTCTTTGCATTTTGCATAAATATGCAATGTTAGTAAGAGTCCCAGCCTTTGTTTTACACTGGGGGAACATGCATTATAATGCAACAAAATGCTATTGGTCAAACAGATTTTTCCAGCTGCATCAGATATTTTTATTCATTTTTAAATGGAAACCATGTCACCCCAAACCTGGGTTAAACCTGCTTTGCATCACAGTTGTAGCTTAAAATGTACAAAGCCCAAACTGGTTAAAAAAAAAAAGACAACCAAAAAACAAACAAACATCGGGTTTCATATTCCCACGTCCACGTCTGGGTATGGTTCTGTGTCTGTAAGAATGCCAAAATCAGAGTGACATCCCAAATCGAGTAATTTCTTGAAATGGCGGAGTGCTAGTTGGGTATTGTGATGTGCGAGGGTTTAGATTCACCTCTGAAGTATTACATCTCACTTTAGAACTTGAGCTCGGTAGGCTGCAGCTGCTAGAGAACATCATGTAAGAGACTTAAGTCTGTTGTTGCCCTGCTTGGGAAGACAACTGTAATATAGTATAAACAGACATAACCCAGTATTTCCACATTTGCATGCAATTTATGCACTTCCCAATAAGCATTAACTGATTCCTCATGCTGAGCCGTCTGAAAATGTTTTCAGACATTCTGTCCACGTTGTCCTCAGAACCTGCCTGAAATTTGAATGCTTGTGGCTGGCGAACACAGTAAAAACATAAAAATAAAGAACCATAAATGGCTGAAGTGCAGTTTTGCTTTCTTTCAAGCTGCTTCAGGACAACTTGGGTTAACGGCAATCTGGCTGGCTTTCAAGCAGGAGTGGGGATGTGGAAGAAAGGGG